CAGCGCGTAACACTGGTTCAGCAGACCACTGCCCAAGTGCAAAAGATGAATAAGGTTGTGAGTCACTTGAAGTATTTTTTTGGTTTGGGTTGGGTTCAAGACTCATGTTTTTAAAGGATAATTTTTTAATTTAGCCGTTAAACTCTAATTGCCTACAAAGTTGCTTTCAAAAATTTAATTTGATTTTCAGGCCTGCACGGTAGCTCCTAGCCGGAGAAGAGAACAAATAGACAAATTGAGAAAATTTCTTAGGATTGATGAGTGTGGCCAGAAAAATGATTGGTGCCGAAAGTTCGGTGTAGAAATCGCCAAAGAAAGTATGAAGGTGACATTTTTAGATATTTAACCTGGCTGCACATCTACCAGCTGTCTTTGAAGGATTTGAATTAAATGCGGTAGTTATTGTTAATTGAGAAACCTATTAGTTGTTTGGCAGCTTTTATGGAGAAGAATCTTACAGAAATTTACTACTTATTTTTTCCATTTGATTTATGTCAGAAGCAGTGCCTAAAAGTCTTTGTTAATATACTGCTGAAAAAAGCTGTTTTTGCAGTTAAAAGCGCGTGTTCTCCCGAAGCCAACTGTTGTTTATGGGAGAGGTGTTGAGGTTACTGTCCGTGATTCGGTTAGTTTTTCTGTTCCAGAGCTTGTTGGCCTCTATAAGTTCAACTATGTATGAATGTATTTAGGCGTCGTGGGTCATGCCCGGAAACGCAGAATACTTAAAAAGAGGACGATTTGGGAAATGGGCAATCTTTCTTTTGTTAAGAAAAAACGATTCATTTAAGAAGGAGGATTTAAAGTAGGAAACCTTTTTAAACCAGTATTTCACAAGAGCAAACTGCTTCTTTCTCAAAGTCAGACAGAATTTAGAAAATCTTTTTTTATATGTATATATAAAACTGCTTATGGTTTCGACATTTGCAGTCTTCTCTTAGCGGAAAAGATTTTTGATTTCTGTGTTATTTGACAGCTGCCTTTGATGGAAGAGTTTTGAACTCCTTTCGTTCAGAGAAAAAAAAAGCACGCTTTGACACTCCACAGTTTTTTCTAGGAGCGGTTTCTTGGCAGTTAGTCCTAACATTTGAATGGTTTAGGCGTTACAAAGATTCGTTTCTGGCTAGATGTAGGCAAAGAGGACTCGGTGTCGAAGAACCAATTATTGAACAATTTATGCTTGGTTCGAAGGAGGAGGCCGTTAAGATGGCGTTTGATATAGCTAAGAAAAAGGGGGCCAATTATATTCAGTTTTTAACTTCCGATGAACTGATTTTTCACGGTAAGCGTGGGCAAGAGATTTTGCTCTTTTGCTCCTTTGCCTGGAACGTTCTGTGAAAAAACCCGTACAGTTTTTCTTATTAGTTTGTTCCGTAAAAATTAGTTTTTCTGAACATTTGTTATTTTAGACAGAATCAAGTACTTCGAAAATTGTTATCAAATTGTAACTCAAGAAGTAAGAACTAGTACTGCTAGCCAGGCGAGGAGTCGTTCTCAAACTCTGGATAATATTATTCACAAAACAAATTTAAAGCTGGGTGGCTTGAATTATACTCTGCGACTGGAGTCAAACGAGTCTGTTTACAGATTTATTTTCTGTGATTAAACTTTAGATTTGATTTTCTGCTTTTACTTTTAAATTTTTTAACTTTGTATAGCATTTTTTCTCTTTTGATCTAGAGCCGAATAAAATAGGCTTACGATAATATTTTCAGAGTCCAAAGGTGGATTGACAACAGTAGCCGCCTTATTATCTCTTTTGATTTTGCACCAACCAGTCTGCCAAAGAAGGTTGAAGATATGGTTCTTCCATCCGTTCTAGGGGTATGTTTTGTTTGATCTTTTTTGAATTTCTGTGGACTTTTGAGGGACATTATTTTACTTATTTGATTTTTTTTTTTTTTTTTGGATGTATAATATTCTGGAAAACCACGCGTCTTTTGACTAGCTTTATTGCAATTGTAGTTTTCTGCGAATTGTAAGAGTGACCCCCTGGACTTCGTAGGTTGGTACCGGTACGTAAGCTCCAACAGAGATGAGGTAGTTGTTTGTTTGGAATCGTATTATTTTCTATTTTTGAACTTGTTAACTATCGTTGCGCTTTATTCGTTAATGGGGTGAAGGCTTAGTGGGGGCAGTAATTGTCTTTTAAAAACGTTTGTAAGCAACATAAAGCGCGTGTTAAAGAAGCATACAAGATGTTTTGTCGATTGAAAAAATAGTGTTTTGCTGACCGGAAAGTTTGCCTTCTTCGTTTTTGAACCTACTGCTGAAGTTCATGCGACTTAAAATGCAGTTGTACTTATCAAGTGTGTTTTATAGTTAGACGTGGCGGAGGTAGGGCTTTCAGAACTTGTAGCTGAATCACTGCGTTTGGTTCAGAGGAACCGGAAGGAACCGCAACATATAATGATATTAAGGGATGGCATATCGGAAGGACAATATAAATACGTAGAGGCCTTTTTACCTTGAATTTAATACTTTTCGGGTGACTATCATTAGCACAGTTTTTGGATATCTCAGGTCTCAATATTGTTCTTCTTCAAGGCAGTTTAGCTCTTTGGTATTTAGGTGATGGACCAGGAAATGAAACATATAAGGTACGGCTGCGCTTTATATGGGGGCCGTAATTATGAGCCGCGCATAACCTTCATTGTAGTTACGAAGGATCACAATGTGCGAATCTTTCCAGAGGTCTAGAACTGATACTGCCGTTTACAAGATGTGGTATTTTTGTAAGAAGCAGTTTAGTAAAAGTGCAAAGGTTGTGCACGTACTTGCCGTCTAGTAATTTCATTTATTGTCTAGGTTTTACGGTAGTGTATCTCGCAGTTTTCCTTAAGGGTTACTAACAATTTATACTTAAGGGTCCCTCGACGTTTAACAATAACATTCCTCCTGGAACAGTCATAGACCAAGGGATTGTTAATCCAGTCTCAAATGAATTCTACTTAAACTCCCATTTAGCCCTCCAGGTAGTTTATTTTTTCTGCTAATTGCTTTTCAGATCGCTGTTATCCAGTGGAAAGATTTACTGAGCTATAGTGATTAGTCAGATTTTATTTTTGGGTTCTAGGGGACAGCAACTACTCCTAGATACAATTTACTGTACGACACAGGAGACCTCACGCTTGACGAGATGGAGGGTGTTAGTTTTGCACTGACTCTCGATTTGCAAATAAATACGGCAGCGACGGCCTTACCGGTGTCCATTATCATTGCTGATAGCATGGCGACAAGGGGAAGAACTAATTTTAATGTTGCCTAGTGGGTTTTTCGAATCTGATTTGAAAGTTTGCAGTAAGGAATTTTGTGTGTCAATTTGTGTAGCATATTTTTTAATAACTATATTTTTTTCATTATTGTGGATTTAGTGCTTTCCTGTTTCGTAGTTTCCCGCAGTTCATCTTATTGTTATGGTGTTGTTTTTCAGTGAGGAGAAAGGAGATACAATTAAAAATTATTCGCTTGACAAGTTAAATGAGGAATTGGGTTGTACACGTCGTGCTCTTTCTGAAATTCGATTTGCAGCATAATGCTGTTTCGCTTACGTAAGGTTAGTCGGTATTTTTTTGTGGAGTAGTTGATAGTTGCAGGGACAGAATTGTGGTCAGACTTGTCATTTTTTTCTGATGACTGGTAGGTCATTTGGGTCGTTATAGTGGTCTTTGTTGTCTTTCACGTTACTTCCAGTCCTAGATTGAGTTTTTACTATAGGCGATAATGATGGTAACAGTAGTAGTAATAATAGCGGTAATAATAACAATAATAATAAGAATAATAATAATGAATAATAATAATAATAATAATAATAATAATAATAGTAATATGTGAAATTAAAATTTAAGCGCTCCTATAACAACTGCTGTGTTCTTGCTGATTTCCCACTTTTTCTGTAGAATTCTTGGATTGTCGGTCAACGTCACCTTTCAATTGGCAATTTGATTCCCTTGTTGAAGTGCAGAATTAAGCAGAAGTCGCTTCCACCTGTCCAGCTTTGGCAGCTTTTAATTTTTTGATTTTTTTTATAAAACGTTTTGTGAAACGTGTATATCAGGGTAATATTGTTTTAGGAGTGTTTTAGAAAGGTACAGTAATGGCGTTGGCAAGTAAAGGAAATATTTTATGTTACGGAAGAGTGGTGGGCATGGATAGGTTTTACGGTAACCCGGATCTGCTGCCTCTTTGGCGTATCGCCGAGCCCATCCAACCCCGCCTCTCCTTCGTAACACTAAATATTTCTTTTACTTGCCAACGCCATTCGTGTAGTTTTTTAATGCACTTCCCAAAGTAATTATTCTGATGACTGCTGAACTTTAAATGGGAGGATTTAGATCTAAAGGAGCCAGGATTTTAGTCGATTTTAACAGGTGCATAAGGTAGCAACCTGCATTCTTACTTTAACTTTGTTTATTAAGACTAGCTACCTGTTATATGTTGAATGCTTTGATTTGTTTTGGTACTTCAGAGTGTGCTCAAGCTATTTTTGTTCTCTGCTGGAAATTTATTTTTATGGGTACTGTGATGATTGTTTTGCGTATCGGTTGTGCGAAAGTAAAGCAGAATGAGAAAAAATAAGGAAGATCAAGAGGTCTTTTGATCACTGACGATTTATGGAGCCAAAATTGCTTACCGGCGTAGATGCTGATGTATAAAGTTTGCGGATACAAGGAATGTGCTGTTTTTGTTTAATTTTTGTAATTGTTTTCTTGAGTAAAATATTTGTGCTTGATTGTTTTGGTTGTCTTTTAAGGGGAATGTTTTTGTTGAATTAATGTGTTTTTTGTAAAATAAACTTTTCTTCTGCTGTTTGGCGTCTAACGGGCGAATTCCGAATCTATATTTGAACTCAGAAGCATCGGAGAAACCAGCGGTGGTAGGCAGCTGGGCAGAATTGATGCGAGGAAGTTATAATGTTGACGATGAAAAGGAAGGATGTGGTTTAAGCAGGTGAGGGAGGAAGAATGAGCCAGATACAAGCGGCCAATGAAAGGAGGTCTTAAAATCCGGAGCGAGTAGCAGTAGAGTGAAAAGTTGAAAGATAGGAGAGAGAGAATGATTAATTGAAGGACTGGAGAGACGGTGGCAGACGTTTGTATGTCGCTTCACTTTGCTGATCCTAAGTGCGTTGAGAAAAGTTTCGGACTAGATCTTCTGGAAGTTGCCATCTACGACTATGAGAAAGCAGCATAGTGTTTGTTTCTTGGTTTTTTTCAAGTACCTCGTTTATTTCGTTCTAACAGAGTGTAGATTTCTAAGCACTAAGCGTTTTGAGGAGACTAAATGCCTGCATACGTCTGTGTTCGTAGGTTACCGGCAACATCATTGTTGTAGGCAGCAGGGCAGTTTTTGGAAAAACACGTTTATCATGATGCATAGTGCTTTAGCTGCGTCAATTGAACTTTGATACATTTTTGAAGTCCGTTCTTATTTGCTTTTCAAACGACTTCAGTGAAAATATATTGTTTAGGTGCAGAATTTTTCATTTGGAGATAAGCTTTTTAAGTGATGGTGAGGGGCGGTATTTAATACTTGGCTTTGAATTGTCGATGATTGTTAAACACTGGGGCGTACTAAGGGTGCAGGACTGGTTGAATTCAGCATCAGATCTGGCGAAAAAGTACCGAATTGGGTGTAGTGTTTTACGCTCACTACCTTAGTACAGGATCCGTGTAAGGTCATCACGAAATCAGATTGGTATATTCACACCCCGTTGTTATCCTGGTAACCTGTTGATCTGCTGCAGCGATAGCAACAATTTTTGTGTCAAAAAAAATTGTTCCAATAAAAACACTTCAAAGAGAGCATATAATTTGTATTTGCTAATCTGTTTTGTCCGCTGTTTCTTCCTCGTTTTTTGCTTGGTAACAGGTCGTCGATGGAATTTGACGCTGGGGCAACAGTGAAGGTGATCAAAGTTAACGAAATTGGTGTGTTCTGTTACCTTGCTACTTATGTATACGAGTAAACTTGTCTTTTTCTGCTGGTCATTTGCAACGTTTGGCAACGATCTACCAGTAATTTTTCCGTAACTTTTTGGTACAGAAAATTGAAAATGTTATTGGAAGTATGTATTTAAGGGACTGAGAACTCTGAATAAAAGTATAGGTACTGTCTACTGAGTGGCATTGTTTTGTTTGGTATTTGGAATTTTTGACGGCTCCATAGCTTTAATTATTAATTTGCTATTGAAATTCTTCAGCAGTGGCTTTAAAATAAAAATGAAGATAGACGGACATAGCGGAGTAGTTGGTTTTTTTCCAGAAGCAAAAAGGGGAAAATCATTGTTGCCTGGCGAAGCATTTTCGCTGGTTTCTTTCTGATACACGTGTCTGTCGAAAAGTTTCAATTTCCTTTCCATAGGGTTGTCTCTTAATTTGTAACTGTTTAAGCTGTTTTTTTGTGTTCATTTCAATAATTTTGTGCTTTTTTTGGCTAATTTGTGCGTATATTTTTGCTTTATGAATTGCTGCTTTTTGATGTTGTAAAGTCGGTGCATTTTATTTATATAGCTCTCTGACTTTTGTTAGCTATCTGCTGCTTGAGTTGACGATTGAAATGTGCGAATCTTTTGACCAAAGACAAGAAATCGCTGGTAAATTGAAAGAAGGTGATATGTTTTCAAAGACGGAATATCTTGGTCAGCTTCTTAGACTGAATGCTTGTAAATATATCGATTCAGAGTCATTTAGTGTTGACTTGAATGCTTCTTTAGAACTGCTGGTAATTAGACTTATCATTTTTTTTCATTTTTTTCATGGGTTCTCGTTATACTTTTTTAGCAACACTTTTTTATACCAAGGTTTACTACAGATAGTCGGTTTTGAATGCGGATAGGGGATGCATTGTAATTGGCAGAATTAAAGATTAGCTTTTCACTGTAGTCAAATTTTTTAGATTTTTCGATGTGTTAAACGATTTTCAAGTCTTTTTTTTTTTTTTTTTTTTTTTCAGAAGATTGCAGCATCTGCTATTGCGCATCAGATGAAGATACAGAAGATGAATTTCGATTATGTTCTTGGTGTTTCGTATAGTTCTATTTTTCTTTGTGCGGTAAGCGCTTTAGTTTTATGATATTGGTAATACTGGTATGTGTTAACAACTGTTTTTAGTTTGAAAATCTGTTTTACTACATTTTTTTTGTATTATTTTTGGTTTTTTTCTACCAGTGGTAGGAAATACTCTCGGTTTTCTCCATTTTTGATTACAGTTTGTTGGCGAAAGGGTTGGAGTTCCATTTCTTATGCGAAGAAAGCAACCGAAGTCATATGGCACCAAAAAGCTGATTGAAGGACTGTATGAAGACGGTCGAAGAGTCACTCTTATACAAGATGTCGTCTCATCAAGTTTGTTTAAAATACATTAAGAGCTGTATAAAATTTCATTGCTCACAGGTACAGAACGCAGAATGCTTCAGGCTTTCAATTCGTCATCCTTCAACAAAAGAGATTTTTAGTTTTAAGGTTCAATCATAGAAGAGACAGTAGAAGTTTTGCGACAGATGAATCTTATTTGCGAAGATGTATTCTGTGTTATCAACTCACTTCAAGATGGGTCTGAGAATTTGCAAAAAGCTGGAGTTCGCTTACACAGGTAAGGCTTTAAAAAGTTTTTTATTACTGGTTGTTAAATTTTACATCTTTTGCAGACGGGATCTGTCATACTCTTTTTATGTAAAAAAAAAGTTTACTATTTTAACTCCAAGTCTTTCGTGTCAAATGGACCGGAGTTGAAAAAACCTTGCTTTATGTAAGACTGGTTTTTATAAAATATTTTTGAAGTCTGCTGATGGCAAGTGACGTACTGAGTTACAAATTTAACGTCGAGAATAAGGAGGTTGGAGGCGCCTGTAAGGAAGTCGTTGGTGAGAAAGGAATTGTTAGTGGAAGTTGTACTACTGAAGAAAGCCATGGACCAGTAGACCGGGATTATCTTATTGGAAATTTCGTTTCGCTAGAAATCTTCAAATTCGGACGCTTCCAATTGAAAAGTGGATTTATATCTCCAATATACATTGATTTTCGAGGCCTTATTTCATCACTTGAAACTTTAGTAATATTTTTTCTCACCAAGGTTGCCAATCGATTGAAAAGAATAGAATTTAGACTGTTTGTTTAAATTTTAACTGTTACAGTCAGTTCCTTTAACTGTTTCAAAATATTACAGCTCCTGACTGCTGATGCTATGTCTTACGAAATTAGACGACGTAAGTTGAAAGTTGATTATATTGCTGGTGTTCCCTATGGTGCGATGCTTTTATCTGCGGTCAGTACCCTTATTACTAGGCGTCTTAGTCTATGTTATTTCTGCGGCTTTTTTGTTTTGTTACAATCTCTTTCGTCTTGAAGAAGAGTCAAAATTTCATGTTTCTTTTTTAGCTGGTAGCTGAGAAATTGAATATATCTCTTATTGGTCTTCACAAAGAGCCAAATCCAGATGGTTCTAGAAGTCTCATTAGCGACAACTTTAATCGAGGCCAAAAAGTCCTTGTCATCGAAGATGTTGTTACTACCGGTCAGTTTGTCTAATATTTCATTTTAATGGGCAGCCCCCTCGCTGTAAATGTTTCTCTTGAATCATTGGCTGTTTTTTTACAGGCTCAAGTATCTTTGAAACAGTTGCAGTTCTGCGAAATATTGGTCTTTTGTGCGACGAAGCATTCTGCATTCTAGACCGAGAGCAGGGAGGTTATGATAACTTGCAGAAGCGTGGAATAGAGTTGCACCGGTACGTTCATTCATTAAATTGATATTCGTGGCGCATATCATAGTTGGTTGGTAGCAGACGGCGACAAACATGCTCTTTTTTTAATGTGGAACATGTGTTTCTGCAATTGTTTATAAAAGATTTTTAGGTTATACTGTTTATCAGAAGCTCTCGATTACTTGGTGAAAATGAATCGAATAAGTTTGGGTGAGAGGAACGATATATCATTGCAATTGAAAGGCTCTTGAGTCTTGATCATTTTTTTTTAAATGTTTTTAACAATATCTAGATATTTATTGGTTGGAAAATTTTGTATTTTGGTTATTTTCGTTTTCTAGAAGTTTTGCAAAGTAATGAATTTTTTAGATAGGTTATTAATTTATTTCTGACAGGCTCTGTCACTGTTAATCGACCACTTCCTGTTTTTGGAAACTATATTGACAGTGCATTGATATAAACAAATTGCTTCATGTTACTGACAGTTCCGTAAACATGTTTTCCCTGTAACATCCTGTCGCTTACGAATTTTTGAATTAACGAGGCCAGTTGCTGTTTGTGAAAAGTTGTTTTTGTTTATGGTTAATAAACGGACACAGAACCTCTAGTATGAAGCAATTTTAAGACATTTTTTTCCAACAACTTCTTTTGCTAACTATTTTCGTAGCGTTTGTTTTTGCTTCTGCAACAATTTAGACTTTAAATATTCTGCATCACTTAAACTTGTTTGTGGTGTCTTCTTTGCTTAGGTATCACAGTTATTCTGGGATGCATATAGGTTTCCAATTCTGAATTTTAATTTAACATAATAAAGCGGACAAAAAACTGAATATCGATTATGGAAATGTTATACGCATTGCTTAGAACATGAGTTTTTAAAATAGGAGTTTCTATTAGCCTTTTGATTATATCAGGCTTGTTGTTTCTTTGTTATTTTTTCATTTTTATGTTTACTGACCTTTCAGAGTTTGCATTTTATGGTTTTGCAAAACAAGTAAGCATTGTTATCTTAGTTTGGTTAGTGTTCTGAAAGTAACATTGGTTCAGGATGCCAATGTAATGGACGGGGGTGATTGGATTGTGACACTTGGTTTTCGACAGTAACGTTTTTGCTGGTTTAATTTCGTGTTGTGTCTCTGAAGTAGAAGTAATATTTCAAGCCAAGTCTTTACAGTATAATGAAGTTTATGCTTAGTAGACTGTAAGCATAAAAGCTTTATTGGATAACCTTTACATGTTTCATTTTCAGTTGTTTTTCTTTTTTTTCCTTTCATGCTTAGCCATCTAGTTTTTTAGTTTCGAATGATAAAATGTTTTAATGAATAGTCTACTGCAATAATATAATGTGCTCTGGTTTTTACAGTTGTTGAGGCAGCGTGCAATTTTGTTTGATTTCATTGTAGTTAGAGGGAGAGTAAGGAAGCAACGCCTACAGATCTATGCATGTGTCTAGCAAAATCGGCTCGGAGAAAAGTTTCGCATGTATCACATGTTCATGAGCACTTAAAAAAGATAATCATTTCTTAATTGTTAAAAAGGTGCTGTTTCAAACCCCGAAATTCAAAAAATTTTTTTTACAGAAAAGACGACAAACTAAACATTGATGGTCTTCTGAGGTACCAAGGTCATTTTTAAAAATGTTTGTAGCACCATTATCTGGCCAAACGATTGCATCTTCAGTGATCTTGCAGATTGTCAGCGGAATAGCAGATAAAATTGTTTTTTGAAAAAGCAAAGAGGAGATTTTCGGGTTAAGTCAAGGGATTAGTTAAAGATAGCATGTTTTACAACACCGTTATCAGCGTTATTTTACGACAAATTTTATTTAAAACCATGCCGAAAAAACAATTTTTAGACAAGCTTAGGAAGATGGCCAGCACCGCATTAGTACTTAGTCAAAAGTTGGAATTTGATCCGTTCTCTAACGCTCCGTATTTCGTGGATAAAAGTTCTTTATTGGAGAGGTACCACCAGCTAGAGATTTTCAAAAATGGCAGTGTCACTTTGAAAAATGGTCTACAAACACCGGTGTACTTTGATTTCCGTGATCTCATTTCTTCGTTGGATGCTATGGTTAGTCTAATTCAGGCTCTTTTTTATGAAATGTCATCCTGTTAGAAGAACTACTGGCAAAACTTTAAAGAGGTTTAAAAAGGTTAAGATAGGACATTTAAGTTTAAATATTGCCGCTTCATTAATATTTATTATTTTTTGCTTACTCGTTCTATGCTTTTATGAATATCGAATCAGCAAAAAAAGCTCTTAGGTATTAACAGCAACTGCAATGGCAACAAGAATTGTGGAAGAAAAATTGTGTGCAGATTTTATTGTTGGTGTTCCTTACGGTGGAACTCTCTTATCTGCGGTAAAAATTTTTAGAGATGCTGTATCTATAAAAAGTTAACATTTGTGAGAATTTTTCTAAATAATATTATAATCGAGAAAAACTATTATTATTTTTTTTTTACAGTTTGTTGGTGAACGTGTGAATCTGCCGTTTTTGTTGCGAAGAAAGGAGATGAAAAATTATGGTACAAAAAAGCTGATTGAGGGCAAATTCAAACAGGGCCAAAAGGCAGTGATTATTGAGGATGTTGTTGCAACTGGTACTTTTCACTGATGCTTATAGGTGTTACTGAAAGACTGTTTTAGTAGGTTTGACAGAATTGACCTTAGAATAGGATCATAAAAAGTTCAAGTGGTCATTTTTTTTTTGCGTCTTATTGTTACTTTTGCGTGTTATAGCAATAACTACAGTTATTTTCGAAGTTAATTCAGTTTTCTTCTAAAAAACTAATTATTGCTGAGCTATGACTGAAAAGTATTTGTGTATTAGGATAGCTGTAGACCTCGTATTCATGCTTTAGTAAATTTAAAAATCAAGAAAAAATAATCTTTATTGATGATTGTTAAAGAGCGATGCAGATTCCGCTTGTTTTTGCTACGCAGAATGACCTCTGATTCTTTAATGGCTGAAAAAAATTGAAAATTGAAACATATGAAACGCTTAAAAGTTCTTTGCTTTTCCCTATATTATGTTAGAGAATTCTTCACTGAACAGTCTTGAAAGAACGATCCCATCTCATAGCTGCTGCAAAATTAGACTCGACTTTGATTCAGCTAATATTTACGAGAAATGGCAGAAGAAAAGAATAACATCACTAGTATAAAAGTGGTTTTATTTTTTAAGTTTCTATGCTTTTATCTTAACCTATTTTTACTAATGTACGCACTAATACTCAAAAGGCGTATAGGTACAAGCGTTCTTGAAACTGTGGAGGACCTGCGTAAGTGTGGAGTAGTATGTGAAGACGTTATATGCATTCTGGATTTGGAACAAAATGGTGCCGAAAATTTAAAGAAGCACTCAGTCACACTTCATCGGTATGCAATCCTATCTCATTACTTTTATAGCTAACA